TACACAAGTGGCAAGTGCAGGTGAAAATGTTATGCCATTATTTAGTGAAGAGCAATGTAACTTCTGAGGCAAAACCTTGACTTGATTTGTCATTTTTCACCACCATTCATCTGCTTTTTTTAGTTTGCTTCATAGAAATAGAAAACATTCTTGTAATATTTTATCAGAAATTATTATTTGCTACTCAACCAAAACCAGTATACCGAAAATCCAGTTGCAGTATCTCTACAGATAATTTAGGGATAGAAACTCAAGGCTGTTGTGGAGAAATTGAAAACAGGGAATGGTTTACTGTGCTAAAACACTGTTTTAGACATGTATTTGTTATCACTCCTATTATCTTTGCTGCAGGAGCTGGAGGACACACCTATAACATATTTGGCTTCCAGAAAGCTAGATGTATTGATTATATGTTGTTATACAGAATTTAGTTTAATGCACTCTGTTATTATCAAGAATTTCTGATTGTTTGAGAAACACAACTATCAATGAATACCTCTAGACAACTGAAAGAAATGTTACCCTACCAGCATGCATACATTTATTGGCTCTGTGGCTTCTTTTCCAATTTTTCTGCTGGGCTTAGGCAAAAGCTCTGTGTTTTCATGTTTTCTTTCCTAGACAGTTCGGGGATCTTCTCATCTGTAGCTGGAATACACTTCTCTCGTAAAAGCCCTCACTTCAACCAAGTCTGTACAAAACTTTGCTTTCTAATACAGCATGTTACTCCAATATTATTCTCACAGGCTGCAGCCTCTTCTCCCACAAGCCATTCTGATATTCTGCTGAATCAATTAATATTTGAAATGTTATATTAAATATTAATAGTCTACTCTTATGTAAAAGACCAGCAAAATCACAAAATATAACTTTTTCTGGGTTTTGCCTCACAATACTATAGGACAGGCAGGTTCTTTGAGGGATTCTTGGTAGAATGACCTATGGCCACATGGTTGTGTTTATACTTAAACCCTTATTGATAACATTAAAGTTTTAACAATCAGCACAGCTAATTGATATCTACAGTTTCTAGCAGGTAGGATAATTTATTGTCATAGAGAATTTTTTAGATAATATCTTAAAGTTAAACAGAATTTCTGCAGTTTTCTTCTTTTCTAGACTTTTTAGCTACCTACACTTTTTAGTTACTTGGACCCTCTGAAGGTTGGGTCAAATTCTTAACAATCAGTAAGTGACCCAATAGCTGTAATTTGGATTAAGCCTTTAACTAAAAGAATGGTATTTACTCAGTCCTTGGAGGAAGATGACAACAGTGGAGGAGACATCCCTGACCACTGGGCATTCACAGGTTTTGCCATCCAGAATCAGCTCCACTCTAAGCCCACCTGCAGCTCCTGGATTTTCTAGGCAGTATCCCTTGGGATATCCCTGTTCCATGCTGAGTGCCACCACATCCTGGTGACAATGCTAGTGGGCAAGCTGCCTTACTGCAGAGCTGAAAAAGGGGTAGAAAGAAGTGCACTTGCATATTTTCTGCACATGCATATTATGGCTGTTTGCCTATAAACTTATGTTGAATAAATCATATTACCAAGGGGTACTGGTGACACTGGATTAGAACGTTCCATTGCCATACAGCGTTTGAAAAGAGGTTCAGTAGTTTGACATAGCAGTCAAGATCTAGTTTAACTTTTTGGTTTTTTTGGGGGTTTTTTTTTTGTTTGTTTGTTTTGGGGTTTTTTTGGTGGGTTTTTTGTTTTTGTTTTTTCATTTTATTATCTTTATTTGGAATAATCTAACAACAGTTTTAAATACTTTTGTGATTAAATTTGACTGCAAGAATAATGAGTAAAGTGTTCAATCAATCAATCAATCAATCAGTAATAAAATTGCATTTACCTAATGGGTGTAGCCTACTGCATTTTCTGACTTTAAAATTTTGAAATGAATAAAGGTGTTCCACTCTTAATTATAAATGTATTTTGTTAATCCACTGTTCCTTTTACTACTCATCATCTGGTATCTGTACTTAAGCATTCCTCTATGTTGTATGAAACAGTTACTTTGTATATTGTTGCATAATTTAGTGACTTCTTTCTCTCCACAGGGAAGCTTTTATAATTTCTAATTTTGTCTCATCTACTATAGCAAACATACATAAGGAAGGGAAGTTTTCATTAGAGGTATGCTCAGAAGGACATTATAGTCCATTATGGAGAAAAACACTTTCAAAAGACTGCTGTGCTTAGCTATTTTACCTCCCTTTATGTTCCAGCCAGCTGTGTTGTCCCAGTGGCTTCTTTTAGACCAAAGCATGTATTTCAGAGGAACTTCAAGTCTTGATCTGAAGACCCCTGGAACCAAAAAATCCATCTTTTTCTAATGGAGAAATCTAGTGTTTTCTTTGGTAGTGTTATCTTATGAATTCTTTTACCCTTATTTAAACATGTTTAAAATGTCTTGCTTAAATTTGACTGGTCTTGATTTTCTCCCAGTGGGCCTTTCTCCTTCTTTGTACCCTGTGCTAATTTAAAGCTCTCCATAGTATCCTTCAGTATTTTCTTACCATGGTATCACTTACACGGTACTTACACTGGATCATGTTTTAATTTGCTTGTTATAGAGCTGTCAAGTCCTCTGTCAGCATCAGTTTGATCCAGATAATATAGGAGCACACGATTGTATTTCTGGTGCATTAATTACTGCACATCATGTGGTATTTATACTGAATTTATGGGCTTGTGGTGGACTTATGCCAGATATAGGGGAACAGACATTACCTGATCTGACACAGAGTTAGAGTAGTGCAGACACATGATACTTCATCCAACATGAAGTTGGTCAGGATGAAATTACCTTTTCATAAATTTAGGAACAGGTTTAAGCCAGCGTAATTAACTTGTCCTGCTTTTGGACACAGTGTCAAATAGCTATAATATTTTTTTTTATTTGAACTGAGGTATCCTAAACTAGATTTATAATATCACTGAACCACAGCAGACGACCCTCAGTGCAAGATTTTTTTTTCCCCCTCTCAGTCCTCAGATAATTTCTGTGGCTTTTTTCCCCCCTCTCATTTTTTTCTATCTCCATTTTAAAATGAAGACATCAGTGTGTGATGTGTAACACAGTACCAGAGTTGTAGTAACATGTTTAACATCACTTTCCTGTTCCCCCATCCTACTCTGATGTTTACAGATTGGGAGAGCACTTTTCTGTTTGGAGTCACAAAGGGACATCCTGTGTTTCCAGGCTACTTAGAGCACTCTGGAGCTGGTGTAACACGGATTGTAACCAAGGTTACAATCTATCACTCCTTAGGAGTGGTTTTCATTTATATCACTGTATTTCTTTCATTTTAAAATAACTTTCTTATATGGGCAGTCTGCTTAGAAATGCTGTCCTGCCCACATTAATATTCACTGGCTGTCTAGAATTTGTGCCATGAGCTGGCTTAATCAGCGGCAATTTTGTATTTATTGTCGGCTTCTTAAGGAATATGCTGGAGTGTTGAAAGGACCACCCAAACCCTGTTCTGGAAACTGGGTTAAGACTGGTGGTGCCTCATGGACCAGGACTTTGGAGGACCTCTCTGCTTGCCCACAGGAGTGCTGTGAGCAGTTCTGGCAGGTGCTGAGCCCCGTCTAGCCCACTGCTGGCAGAGAAAGGAGGTGGTGACCAGTACCCAGATCACCTGGGCTGGCTGCTGGCCACAGAGCCGGCCCTCCCCCAGTGCTGCCCAGAACTGAGATTTTCTGTCAGAGAGGATTCAAGGGGAGGTGGATGGAGCCAGGAGACCTCCCCTCCATCCTGCCTTGTCCAGTGGTGAGCAGTGCCAGCAGCACGCTTTCTGCCTTCCTCTGCCACCGCTAGGCAGCAGCCTCTCTCTTTGTGGCTTTCAGGAAGGGACAAGGCAGGATGCTGCTGCTGCTGCTGGTACTGCTGAAGGAAGGAGAAGGAAGGGAGGAATCCCAGCCCCAGCCTCTTTGGCTGCTCTCCTTAGTTAGACAGCTCTTTGTGTCTCAACGTGAACTTTATTAGCACAACGTGGCGTGAATTTCATCAAATTCAAATCCTCTCTGGTGCTAAAGATAGCGTTCTCAAAATCTGAGTTACTTGGAATCTGATAAA